CGTTACGGTGCACAGTACGGCCCCCCACCTCCGCCCCCCGGTGAATATGGCGCACATGCAGACTCACCAGTGATCATGGTGTATGGCCTGGATCCCTCAAAAATAAACGCAGACAGGGTCTTCAACATCTTCTGCCTGTATGGAAATGTTGAACGGGTATGTAGAACGGCTAAAAGTAAGTTGGATACTGCCAAAATGCACACAACTTTATCTGAAATCCACTTTTCCCCTTTTAATGTAGGTGAAATTCATGAAGAGCAAGCCTGGAGCTGCTATGGTGGAGATGGGAGACTGCTATGCTGTGGATCGTGCCATCTCACATCTCAACAACAACTTCCTGTTCAATCAGAAGCTCAATGTTTGGTAATTGTTGCAATCGTTCCAATTGGAGTTTTTTGAAATTTTGTAATAATAGCAGCCTGATTGTCTGTGATTCATTATATAGTGTTTAATAGAAGAAAATAAGATTCGGATATTTTGAATATATTTGTGACAGCTTTGCTATATATTATGTTTAACCATTAACTCTTTCCCCGCCATTGACGAGTTATCTCGTCTTTTACAAGAAAACGCATCACCGCCAAAGACGAGTTTTTACGGCTTTTCGTGTTCTCACTGTTATACACTCGGGGGCACTTTAAAAAACACATATAAAAGTGTCTCTTTGAATACAGAAGTTAACTCTTTCCCCGCCATTGACGAGTTATCTCGTCTTTTACAAGAAAACGCTTCCCCGCCAAAGACAAGTTTTTACGGCTTTTCGTGTTCTCACTGTTATACACTCGGGGGCACCCTTACACATCTTCTGAACGAGTACAAAACCTCCAGAACAAAAACACACGTGAACAGGACGGAGAAACGAGCGATCTCTTATGTAAACGGATGCATATGTAAAATAATGCAATCATCAGCAATAGACAGCATATAAATGAAAACTGCGGAATGTTACAGAGTAAAATGTTGATCCAGGAAGTGGTATATGTCTGTGCAAGCTTTGGAGGTGTTGATGGAAGCGATTTACTGGATTTATGCTTTGATAATCGTACTGAATATTATCCAGATGTAGTTTTTAAAAAAAAAAAATTATTTTCTCACCGTTTTGCTCAAAATTATGCATTATTTATGAAACCTACCTATATTCAAGTGTTGATAAAAAAAAGAATACTTTAAGCTAGAATAATTCAGATTTTTTTTTTGTTTAAAAGTAGAGGCTCTGATCTTTATTTTGGTGTATTGCATTTTGAAATATTCATACAGCAAAAATTTCTGGAGGCCATCAAATTTTAGTGAAAATCATCAAAATCGCTGGCGGTGGCTGGCAACTTTTTTCAAAAATGCTGGCGGGGAAAGAGTTAAAGGCATTAAAAATGCTTCCATTGTGTTAAAATACTTAGTTTTGTCTAATTATTTTCATTGAGATTTTTTTTTAACACTACAGTAAAAGAATTTGAATGAAATCAAAGTGTTAAAATAGTTTTGTCTAATTATTTACGTAAAAAAATGTTAACATTACGGGAATATAAGAATTCGAAGGGAATCAAAGTAAAACGCAAATTTAATTTTATTTATTTTTTTTTTTAAATATGACTTCATATGTGTACATACGGTTTGATCAGTTGTTTTCTTCGTTGTGTCAGTGTGTCTAAGCAGCAGGCCATCATGCCCGGTCAGTCCTATGAGCTGGAAGACGGGACCAGCAGCTTCAAAGACTTTCACGGGAGCAGAAATAACCGTTTCTCCTCTCCAGAGCAGGCAGCAAAGAACCGCATTCAGCATCCCAGCAACGTCCTACACTTCTTCAACGCAGCACCCGAGGCTTCACCAGACTCCTTTACCAGGGTCAGTTCACATTACAGATAGTCAGGACCTTTCTTGTCACATAATGTTATTCGATGTGTACATTTACAACCTTCATCTGTTTTCAGGTCTGTGAAGAACTTGGGGTAAAGAGCCCTTCCAATGTCAAACTTTTTGCAGCTAAAGGTATGTGAAAACGTACGGTCTTTAACTGATGTGTGGTAAATAACGGCATAGAAAGCCAAACTCAGCATGAAATAATTTAAAGTGTGCCCTATTAACTGGTAATGTCATCCATGCCCCTTCATTATTGTAATGCGTCCAGTGCCTCTTTTTCTTTAATGAATAGGTTCCACATCAGAGAGGAGTTCGTCAGGGCTTCTGGACTGGGAGTCTGTTAATGACGCCATGGAAGCTCTTGCTATGATGAACCATTACCAGATGAAAAACCCCAGTAAGTGACTTCATCCGTTTTAGATTTTGTTGGCATTAATTGGTTGTGTCACTGTTTCCAACAAAATTAAAGTGAATTTAATAAATAAAAAGGTATGTGTGTATGTATTTGGCTGCTAGGGGTGGGCAATATGACCAATATTTTGCTGACCAAATTTCATGGTATGAGAAATTGATATCACTGTAACTAATATATATATATATATATACACACACACACACACATATATATATATATATATATACACACATACACACATATATATATATATATATATATATATAGATATAGATATAGTTCTTTTAATTTTGTTATTAAAAAGAAGAACAAAAGCAATTTACAAACAATAGGACAAATACAATAGAACAAAAATACTAATTAAACATTTTTCAGATACAGTAGGTTTTATTCAGTGTGATGTAAGAAATAATATAGAAGTTGAATAATCAAGTGTAAACCTAACGCTGCATAGTCTTCACTGTATGAATCACATATAAATTGATTCTTATTAAAGATACAAATTATTTAGTCGAGCAGTGAGTGATTTTTCTGGGTTTTGTTGTTTGATTAATATTCATGACACAGACAGCAGCATTTAAATTAGGCTGCTGTCCCTTTTAAGACCGAATGCACAGATCCAATATACAGATAAATGTTTTTTACCCAGCTGTTTACTTTTACTTAAGACATAACCTACTGTGTTCACGTGAAGACTGCACATTTTGACAGCTGTCTATTTGCCCGTTCAAACACAATAAGCTGCAAAAGAGAACTGAATTTGTGATGACGTGATGTCAAATACGCCGTTTTTAATTTTACAGGACAGTTGTAATTTGCAACAGTAATGTGTATATCTCTGTTCTTACTTGGCCACACTTTTCCCAGCGCACACAGCTTGAATGTTAGAAAATGTGGACTTATCCTTTGTTTTTCTGTTTCTCTCTGCAGGTGGCCCATACCCATATACACTCAAGCTGTGCTTCTCTACTGCACAGCATGCAAACTGAACAGCATCATCGTCATCGCTCACCCCATCACTTCACCTTCCTGCTACTTTATTGTCCTTAATGGCTCATTTGTGTGAGTGGGTGTGCAGACGTGTTGAGTTAATCTTATGTTGATTGAGCCGCAACACAAGCTGAGAGTAAAACTGACTGAACTCATTGCTTTTAAAGGAAGAGGAGAGTTGAAACGCTTTTGTACCAGTATTTTGTTTTTTTTACAGTTTTGTTCTTTTCCTTATTTTTTTTTTTTTTTATTGCTTACAATGATTGACTGTTAGCTGTGGGCTCAGCACCTCACTTTTAGAAATGTCACTCTGTAAAGAAGACTGCATTTTTTTTTTGACTAAAATAAAAATAGTGATAATGGGTCTCTGTTGTTATTGCTTTTGCAAGGTAGCAATTGTGACTCGTGTTTTAAAATGTTTTTTTTTTTCTTTCTTTCAAAAGCTGCCTGGATGTTATTGCCCAGTGTATATTTGGAATCTGGAAAATAAAATGTAATCAGTTTAATAAAGAAATAATCTGCGTATTCAAAAATGGCTATTGCCGCTTGGTCGGAGCTTACACATGCGTATATTGCGGGGTTCCAAGAGTCAAGGAAATATTAGACTGTTTTAAAATTGTGATTTCCAGGCTTAGAAAACTCACAGAAATGTAACCGATATTTCTATAGTCAAGGTAAATTTCTCTTGATAGTCCTGTGCAAGGCCTAGAAACCCAAATAATCCAATGAGATGCTTTCAAATCAAATGAATAAGAAGTTATACAGTAATAGAGAAGGTCATGGAAGTTTCGTTAAATCACGATGCAAAAAAATGACAAAATCTAAAATGACAAAACTATGATGGGCTGATGTCTAGCCAATTACAGGGGTCATAACACGAAAAGGCAGATTTTAATAACAGTGTACTATAAAATTGGTAATTTTTTTTTCTGTACTGTGCTGTTTTATATAGGTGTCTGAATATAATTTGAATACTTGCAAAATAATACTAAAAGTTAAAAAGCTTCAGTCACAGTTAAGTAAAGGAAGAAACAGAATAAATGATATTAGTACTAAACAAGAATTATGTATTATATGCATTGTACATAATATAGATTTTTCACATTTTAAAATCCCTCTGACTTGTGCTTCTTAAAATGTAATAATTATGAGCAAATAAATTACGAGCAAAACACTATCAACGCTAATACATTTTGCATTTCATTGTTGAAAATATCTTATACAAACTATAAAATTAGTATTAAAAATATAATCGTAATAAGTTTTATTTAAAGGTGCAGTGTGTAAATTGTAGCGGCATCTAGCGGTCAGATTGCGAATTGCAACCAACGGCTCAGTCCCCCGCTCACCCCTCCCTTTAGAGAAGCTACGTTTACTTATATTTACTTCATTAATTAATAAATCGATGTTATTGCGAATATTAATGTACTTGTTCATCATTGTGTCAGTGTTTTATTCGCAAGAACAACAAAGTGACGAAACGCGCTGTGTAGAGCAGTTTGTCCGTTTAGGGCTACTGTAGAAACATGGCGGCGACTTCACTGTAAGGGGACCCGCGGTGTATGTAGATATAAATTGCTCAATCTAAGGTACTAAAAACATAACGGTTCATTAAGTAAGGTCTTTATACATTTCTGAAAACATAGTTATGTATATTATATTGCATTTCTGTCAATAGATCGATGTAAATATTACACATTGCACCTTTAAGTGAAGATAAACGGCATATTCCGGAAGTACAGCATGCGCATGAGTGGATGTCAAACGTTATGATGTAATACGCTAGAAAGTTCCCCGGATTATAAGTACAGTGCGAAGGTCAGTAGCGCACTGACAGTATAGTAATATTAAGACAACAGAATTTTTTGCGAGTCTCGGATCTTTTTCTGGAATTAGTCATTAATTAGCAACATGCCAAGAGGAAGCCGAAGCAGAACTTCGAGGATGAGTCCTCCAAGGTGGGTTAAGAGTGATTATCATGAGCTATGTGCCAGTGCTAGTCATGCGTCAGTTACGGTAACGTACTTAACCAACCGTTTAAATCAGGAACAAACTTCTTTACCATCACTGACGGCTACAGCTTCAGCAGACAAAGTCTCTTAATGTCTCTTTAAGCATATTACCGTAGTTATTAGCAATAGTGATGGTGATTGTAGAGGACATACATAGCCTACATTTATATGAACATGAGTGTGTATGAACGATGCGGCTTTGGATAATATTGGTTTACAATATCAAATCTAATACAATCTATAACATTGTTAATTATTCTCTGCTCTGAAATGTTTCTTTAAGCAGTATTTGGTGTAAAACAGACGCATGCTTGGGTTTTGTGTAGAAATGCACTGTTATGAAAATGCAGTGGTTTTATAATCCTAGAATTCTTTAAAAGTGTATTAAATTATTTTTGTTTTAATTTTTTATTCGTAAAACTTCCAGGCTTTAGTGAAATTAGAAAAATTATTCAGGTTTTCAAATATTAATATTGAACATTAGATGAGAAGTAAATTGTATCTAAAAAGAAAAAGGAAATTAACAGGCATCAGTAAATATTTATTAATTGTTGTATGTACAATATCTACTGACAAATATCTAAAATAAATAAATATTTCATCGAAAACCCATACTGTACCCATATGTACCCATATTTTTCGAAATTGAGATCTATACATCATCTGAAAGCTGAATAAATAAACTTTCCATTGATGTATGGTGTGTTAGGATAGGACAATATTTGGTTGAGATACAACTATTTGAAAATCTGGAATCTGAGGGTGCAAAAAAATCAAAATATTGAGAAAATCGCCTTTAAAGTTGTCCAAATGAAGTTCTTAGCGATGCATATTACTAATCAAAACTGAAGTTTTGATATATTTACAGTAGGAAATTTACAAAATATCTTCATGGAACATGATCTTTACTTAATATCCCAATGATTTTTGGTATAAAAGAAAAATCGATAATGTTGACCCATGCAATGTATTTTTGGTTATTGCTACAATTATACCCGTGCTACTTATGACTGGTTTTGTGGTCCATGGTCACATATGTATTGTGTATCAGTCACTATTTGTCCTGTATAGCAACCACCTAGAACCCCCTAGCAACCATATAGGAACAACAGTCATAAAAAAACATCAAATACTGATGGATAACCAAAATCTGTCATGGAAATCCATTAGCGTGTGAACCTTGTATTAAGAGATCTTACTGTACAGGTAGATGATGGTGTGTTTTCACTCTAGTTACTCCTCCCCATCACCTCCACCAATGGCTAGAGCAGCTCCTCCACGCTCATACGCCCCAGCGCCCGCTTCTCCTCCACCATCGGCGGTGGCGGCTCCTGCTGCTGCTCCCCGTCAGCCGGGGATGTTCGCTCAGATGGCGTCCACCGCGGCGGGCGTTGCGGTCGGCTCTGCTGTCGGACACACGATAGGTCACGCCATGACCGGCGGCTTCAGCGGAGGTGGACACTCAGAGGCTGCCAGGCCTGATGTCACCTATCAGGTAAACACAAAGCCAAACTACCTGTTTGAATAGTTACGCTCAGCTCTCCCTTGAGAAAAGGTAGTACACTTTTGCAACTTGTCACAGAAATAATGTACTTTAGAACTGCAAATTGATGTTTTTGGACACTTCATTGTTTTAATTAGCGTTTTAAAAGTAGGATTTAGGTACTTCTTCATATGTCATTACACAATTCCTTCTATTGTCTTCTATGGAGATATTGTACTGCTAAATGTACTGACAAGCATTTAAGGTAAAGTATACTTTAATGTCATTTCTATTGACCTACAGAAGGTTCAAACGCCCACTGCTGCTCCAGAAGGAAAAACGATGCATTAAGGGCCATTAAGGGTGCAAACTTTTGAACAGAATGAAGATGTGTAAATTTGTATTATTTTGCCTAAATATCAGTTTTATAATTTTTTTTTATTTAGTACTGCCCTTCAGAAGCTGCAGAAGATACTTGCATGTTTCCCAGAAGACAAAATAAGTTAAATTGACCCTGATCTTCAAATTCAAAAAGTTTTCACCCCCCAGCTCTTAATGCATGGTTTTTCCTTCTGGAGCATCTGAACCTTCTGTAATAGTTGCATATGAGTCCCTCGGTTGTCCTCAGTGTGAAAAGATGGATCTCAAAATCATACAGTCATTGTTGGAAAGGGTTCAAATACACAAAAATGCTGAAAAATCTAAGAATTTGTGGGACCTGAAGGATTTTTCTGAAGAACAGGAGGCAGTTTAACTGTTCAGGACAAACAAGGGACTCATGAACAACTATCACTAAACAAAAAACACAGCTGTGGGTCATTCAGGTAACAACACAGTTTTAAGAATCAAGGGGATGTAAACTTTTGAACGGGGTCATTTTTATAAATGTAACTATTATTTTCTCTTGTGGACTATATGTAAACCTCTTTTATGTGAAATAACTTATTCAGGTCAGTACTAAATAAACAATAACATGCATTTTGTATGATCCCTCTTATTTTGGTAAAATTAACATTTTGCCGATTCTGCAAGGTGTATGTAAACCTTTGAGTTCAATTGTATGTCGTATCTAAATATATTTGAAGTTTAGTACATTTCAAATATATTAACTGAAAAAGTAATAACGTTAGTTACAATTATTAGCTTAGTATGTTGGTCAACAAATCAAAATAAGTGTATGACATGAAATGTAATTTTTTGTTTTTTTTATGTGCACTTTTTAAAGCTGTACTTAAGTGTGTTAGTCTCTCTTTAAAGGGATAGTTCACCCAAAAATGAAAATTTGATGTTTATCTGCTTACCCCCAGGGCATCCAAGATGTAGGTGACTCTGTTTCTTCAGTAGAACACAAACGAAGATTTTTAACTGAAACCGTTGCAGTCTGTCAGTCTTATAATGGAAGTGAATGGGAGTCACGGCTTTGACATGAAACATACACAAACAAAACCAAATTAAACCCTGCGGCTCGTGACGATACACTGATGTGTAAAGACACGAAAACGATCGGTCTGTGCAAGAAACTGAACAGTATTTATATCGATTTTTACAGCCGGTGCCTGACACGCCTTATTCTT